AAAAAAAAAAAAAAACAGATATTGGGGTAAATGCTGAAAGACCAGAGAGACAAAGGAACAAGCCACCTATTACCTCTAGGACTCCTCAGCCTGATAAGCCTTCCTCACTCAGCCAAAAGACTTTAGTTCCTGTCTCCTCACGCCTTATATGCCTTTCTCTGCCCAGCCAAATCATTTCCTGTCTCAATTTTCCTAATGCTGGGATTAAAGATTTAATCCCAGCACTCCCAAGTGCTGGGATTAAAGGTGTGTGCCATCACTGCCTGGCTCTGTTTCTCTCCTAGACTGAGTCAGTCTCATATAGTCCAGGGTGGCTTTGAACTCACAGAGATGCAAACAGATCTCTGCCTCCCGAGTGCTAGGATTACAGGTGTGTGTCACCCACTGCCTGGCCTCTATGTTTAATCTAGTGGCTTGTCCTGTTCTCTGATCTTCAGGCAAATCTATTAGGGTACACAATATATCACCACAATACCTAACTTCCACCCTGATAAGATGTTTTGTCAAGGAACTTTGAAATTTCAGCCAAGTTCCTATGTAACACAAATTCCTCTGGAAATCTCCAAACCCTTGAAAACTCCCTGGTATTGCAGTTTTTTTGGGCTATATAAACCCTACTGTCTCCTGTTTGATGCTATTTACTCAAGCCCCTTTTAGGAAGATAGCTGTGTCTGATGGAAAATAAAGCTTGCATATTCGACCAAAGAATTTGAGTAAAGGTCTTCATTCTCATTTAGTGGGATTAACACTATATTCCCAGCACTATTTTGAGTTTTTTGAAATTATATTTAGGGGATGGAGAAATGGCTCAGTAGTTAAGAGCACTTACTGTTCTTCTAGAGGATCCAGGTTCGATTCCCAGCACCCATATAATGGTTCATAAGCACCTATAGCTCCAGTCTCAAGGGATTCATCACCCTTTTCTGACCTCCTCTGGCACTGCATGCATATTGTGCAGGCATACACACACTCATACAGTTAGCCTTCCCTCCATGCTAACTGTAGCTCTGGCCAGCACTCTCCCACATGGCTGTTTATCAAGTCCGCCCATCTTCAACAGGACTGGACTCGGGGACACCAGGAGCTGAGTTCTTTACCTAGGTGTCAGCACTCAGACAGACAGACAGACGGATGGAGCTGCGTGTGTTTCTGACCTTCTAGTTTGCTGCAACGTTCCTCCAGCGTCAACACTTTTTGCCGATCCTCTTCCCATGAGAGAAGTTGTCTCTGGTGCACCGTGACCATATCATTGAGCTCTTTATCTCGATCTTTCAGTTCTCCGATGAGCAGCTGCAGCTCCTTCCGCTGTTTTTCAATAGTGGAATTCTCAACTTCTGACCCGATGTTCTAAACATGGAGGGTGGTTGTGAATCAAGAGAAACCCAATACCACACATCAGCCACAACATATCTCCAAACAATTATACTCGTTCGCTGCCAGCTCTGAACTGTGAAATTGAGTTTTATCCTCGTTTAAGAGTGATACAGCAAGTTATACCACACAGTCTGCGGCCATCATCTTCCATCAGACCACACAGTTCTGAGAGTAGGACCATTTCCAAAACCTCTGGCTAACCACAGCACACCGCTTCTGCGACTTCCTGCTTTGCTGTCCATCTTCCTGTTCCAGTCAACAATGCTATTCCCTACTCTGCCCTTCTGTGCCCTGCAGCACGCATGCACACACACACACACACACACACACACACACACACACACCTGTGGCAACCTTTCTGTATGTGTGGTCCTGGAGCTCAAACCCAGAGCATTAATGAGCAAGTGATCTAACTGAGTTAGAGTCCCAATCTTTGGCCTAGAAATTTTGGAGAAATCAAGGAAAGGTAAACATGAAATAATTGTTTTTAACTATATTATAAATAATTCTTATCAAAGAATGTTAATTTTAATCTGTAAGAAAATAGCCAGGCTGTGGTGGCGCATACCTTTGATCCTTGCACTTGGGAGGCAGAGGCAGGTGGATCTCTGTGAGTTTGAGGCCAGCCTGATCTACATAGTGAGTTCAAGGACAGCCAGGGCTACACAGAGAAACCCTGTGGGGGTGGGGTGGAGAAAATTTAAGCTGGATATGGTGGTACAAGTCTTTAGTCCCAGCACTTCAAAGGTAATGGTAGTGGATCTCTATGAGTTCAAGGCCAGCCTGGTCTACACGTCAAGTCCCAGAACAGCTAGGACTACATAGTGAGATATTACGGCAACAATAACAAAAATAATAAAAGAAAGACAATAATTTAAACCTACTATTAACAGACACATTATTGAAATGCACTCAATCTATCAAGGGAAATTTAATATTGTTGCTTGTCCAAACTCAAAATATATAGTTAAAAACAAGGGCAGAAAGGATCCAGAGGTCACAGGTTTGATTCTTAGCACCCACACAGAAACTCAAAACTGTCTGTACCTCTAGTACTGGGGATCTGATGCCCTCTTCTTATCTCCCCAGGCACCAGGCATACATGTGGTCTACAGATATACATACAGGCAAAACATCCAAACACATAAAAAAACAAATCTTAAAGGGTGGGATGGTTCAGCAGAGTGTTTTGCTGCATATGTATCTGTGTGCCACTTCCAAGCTCGGTGCCTGTGGAGGTCAGGAGTGGCTATCGGGTCTGCAGGACATGAAACGATAGGCATTTGTGAGCCACCAGAGAGGCGCTGGGAATCAAACCTAGGTCTTTTGGAAGAGCAGCCAATGCTCCTGACCAACTGCTGAAACATCTCTCCAGTTCCCACAGCTTTTTAAGAAAATACCTTTTGAGATGTAGTCTCACTAAATTGCCCTCCCCTTAGGCTCTGTGGCTTCGAACTTTCCAGCTTCCAAAGTATCTGAGATTACAGGCCTGTGGCTTGATAAGTGCCTCGAATATAGTAATCTCTCAACATTAGCTGTTGTTATTATTCTTATTAATTACAATTAGATAGGGTCTTGTTATGCAGCCCTGGCTGGCCTTGAACTCACAGGAATCAGTATGCCTTTACTTCCCAAGTACTTTCTGGGACTAAAGGTGTGCACCACCACACCTGGCTTAATTCATGTGTGTGTGTGTGTGTGTGTGTGTCAGAGGACAACTTTCAGAAGTTGTTGGTTCTCTCCTACCATTTGAGTTCCGGGGATCAAACACAATTCATCAGGCCAGGTTTAACGAACCTTTACCCACTGAGCTACTATGAAATGGTACTGTAAACCATATGGTGCCGAATTATGTTCTGTTTTTGTGCGTGAAGAGCAGGACTGGAACTCACGCGCTCCTGGCAACTCTACCACTAAGCTAATTCCAACTTAAAGACAATAATTAAAGCTGGGACTCGGTGGCTCACACCTAGCTCCTCAGGACTCCGGAGGCAGAGGCGGCGAGACACACGGGGTGTGAAGGGCAGTACAAGTTCATCGGGGACTCACGTGTATGACCACAGCGTTTTGAAAAGGACTTATACATAATAATGGTTTACACTTACTAGTAACTAAACACACCCACACGAAAGGACTTGGAATTCCAAGTCACAACACTTGAATTCCAGTCTAGAGGAAGGGCAGGCAAGGGGCGCGGAGCTCGGCGGAGGAAAACGGGCGGGCGGGCGAGGAGCCGAGCATCCAGCGCCTTCGCCTGGCCCGACGCGGATGCACATGCAAACCTCGGGCAAATTCCCTTTCGGGACCGTCAAAGTGACGTTGTGAGACGGTCCGTCCCCTCGCCGGGCGACTGCGAAGTAGGCGAGGGAGGGCAAGGTCCCTGCCAACGTTCAACAGCAATGCCCGGGTGCTCGCGCTTCGTCGTCACCGTCGCCGTCGCCGTCAGCCCGGCCCCGGGTTTTGTCGGGCTGAGCAAACGGCCGCTCCGTGCCCTCTCTGCACCGCGTCCCGGGGCAGCGGCGCTCACCTGGCGCCGGGAGAAGAAGGTCGCCGAAGGGATCATGGGTGAGGCCCCCGTCCCCAGAGCGAGTCGGTGCCACCAGCGCGTCACCCCAGAAACGCCATAGGCGCCGGGCCGCAGAGGCGCGGGCAAGCCCGCCGGCCGGGACGCCGCGCCCTCGCGGCAGCGCATGCGCACTCAAACCGCCCGGCCCGACCGCGCTGAGGCGTCGCGCAGGTGGGCGCCCCAGGTCTCGCGAGACTTGCGGCCATGCACCGGGCTTGGGAACGGGAACCTGGTTTCTCACGCCTTCCAGCGCCAAAGACAAAGTCGTTTCCAGGTCCCGGGGGCCCCGGTTCACTCGCTTTCTGGTTCCCCGTAACCCAACGAGAGGGTTGTCCGTTTCCCTCCCTGTGGATAATGGCTCCGGCAGACAGGACTAAACGAAAGATCACTCAGGACAGAAGGATCGATCAGCCTGTCCATCTTCTGTCTGCTCTCAATAGTGATGAGAACCGTGACCCTTTATTATATCAGCATCTACCATATTATTGCTGGGTCCTGGAGCTGAGGTAGGAAGACCGGAGACCTGGGGAGACCCCGGTCTCATTTTCAGGTGTGTGCACCCCTGCACTTGTGCGGAGGTGAGGACAACTTCCAGTTGGTGCCCCCCACCCCCTTTGAGGCAGGTCCACCATCCTTCCGACCTGGTTCCCTGCTCTAGGATTACAAATGCACACGTGACAGATGCCCGCTGGCGTGTGTGTGTGTGTGTGTGTGTGTGTGTGTGTGTGTGTGTGTGCGCGCGCGCGTAAGGGTGTTGGGGGTCAGGGAAGGACAAGCAGAAGGGCCCTGGACACTGAAAGCGATTACATGTGTGCTGAGGATCAAATTCCTGTCCTCATCACTGTGAAACAAACGCTCTATTACATCCGTACACACCAAACAATGTAACAACAACAAAAAAGATTGTGCCAATTAGAATTAAAGTCATCCTTTGAACGTGGGGCACATCAAATTTCAAGTCAAAGGAAAACACTCATTTTATCAATAAAGGCATTTTAATCCTTCATTTTCCGACAGTAACATTCTCTAATTGCTATATAAGGGCCGAAAATGCACTTTTCAAGAATTGTGTGGGGCTGGAGGGATGACTCAGAGGTTAAGAGTGCTGTTCCCCCTAGCAGAGGACCCAAGTTCATTCCCAGCATGCAAATGGGAGCTCACCTGGCTGGGGGGGGGGGGGCGCACAGGTTCTTCTGGCCTCTGTGGGCAATATTCCCTTTTTATAAAACTTAGAACTGTAGACATTCAAGTGCCTTTTTCATGAACATGTATACCAGAGCACCAAGAAAACACCAAAAGAACACTTGCCAAATAGCCATGACTGGTGCATTTGCTTTGCCAAGTATTTGGCAAATTTCAGTTAGTGAAAAATTTCGTTTTTACCCTTCCATCTTTATTACACATTTTTTCCCCTAACTTCCCCCCCTCCTAAACACCCTTTCAGGGCTGGAGAGATGGCTCAGCAGTTAAGAGCACTGGCTGTTCTTCCAGAGGTCCCGAGTTCAATTCCTAGCACCCAAAGGGAGCGGACAACTGTCTGTAACTCCGGTTCCAGAGTACCAGACACCCTCATACAGATATACATGCAGGGAAAACACCAATGCACATAAATAAAAGAAAAAAAAAAGGGGGGGGGAACACCCTTTCATTCAAGAAAGAATATATTTGTATAATTAATGATTTCAGGGATTCTAAATTCTTAAAGGTATCTTCTATACAACTTTTGTTTGTGACACTGGGTTGAATGGAAGGGCCTTGTGCATGCTAGCCAAGTACTTGTGCTGCTCAGCTATATAGACTCCCACACCTACAGCAATTTAAAAAATAAAAGCCTTTTCACATGTAACACCTGATTTTCAGTTTAATTTCACCCAGTGCATTCATTAAAATGATCAGTTTCTCCATAAGTTAGTTTAATTACTACTTCTAAAACTGTAGACGAGAACAGATACATGCCATTTTTAATTGGTTAAAATTTTACCCACATGGTATATATAGCTAGAACAAGAATTCTCAGCCTCTCTGAGCATCCGTCCACTTGTAACAGTAAGAACAAATGTCTAAAACAAATTTGGGGTCTGACCCTACTCAACATTACCAAGCAGGTTTCTAATATTCTTGGGGAAAGCTTTTTCAAATATACAGTGTCCTACCCACAAGACACACCAGCATTTTTTTACTGTTCTGTGTTATTTATGAGCTCTAACATCACCAGTAACATTGTGAATAGCACCCTCATCCATGAGCTGCATGCAAGACTTGTTCTTATCTTAGGACAGTGTCAAAGGGACTTACTGGGTCACAGTGCACATGGTTTTAAGGCTTTTAATGTACTTATCAAGTAATCTCCAGAAAGACTTAAGCAAACCTACCCATTCCATTGTTTGTTACATCAATGAAGTGGACTTTGCTTTAATGAAGAACCTAATCCAACCAAAACCCCATTAGATTCTTACCAACCAAGGACACACTTCTACTAAGAAAAGGAAATACAAATTCTTTTGAAAAGTCGCTCAGCTTTCTCCCAGTAAGATAACCATCAGAAACACTTCCCAAAAGAAGAAGGTTTTGGTGCCAAGAGTCCAGCTCAGTGGCAATGTACGCCCAGCACATGGCCCTGGGTCCCATTGACAGCACCAAGTTTGGGGGGGGGGGGGGGCCCCCCCAAGTTTTTTTTTAAAATTAAAAAAAAAAAAAAAAAAAAAAAAAAAAATCAGTACCAAATGACCAAAATGTTTTATTTGACTAAATTCAGATTCATGCATGAGCATGACAGTCTCTCTCTCTCTCTCTGTTTATCAGACTTTGGCAATTAAAAAAACAAACAAACAAACAAACCAAGCAGCCTTGTACAGAACAGTGAGAACGCCAAGGATGAGGAGTCCACAGCTTTACTGTAGGATATATATATACACACATATATACATATGTATATATTTCTGAAAGGCCTCTCCTCTGTTGGCCCCGTCAACTCTCGGGTCAGCTCAGAAACACAGGACTCCAAAATCACTTCTTCACTTCTCCAAGGTCTTCAATGCTGTCATCATCCACCTGAAAGACACAGGTAAAAGAAGGTCAGGAACTGAGGCAAAAATTAATAAAGAAATGAAGTGACTTGCTTTAAAAACTTGTTTCTACGGGAGCATGCATCCGGTGCACTCACCTCTGGCCACTTTTCCTGAATGACATCGATTATGTCATCCGTGAAGTCTCCCTGAATGATGATCTCATCCTCTCCTGTTACTGAGGCACCACAGGAGAATTTTTGAGCAAAAAATCTTTGTGCTTCTTTGAGATCAATTTCTGTTTTGGTTCGTTTTTTAGAAAAAGAAAGGGCAAGACTATAATTGGAATTGTACAACAAAGATATTTCAATTTTAACATACATTTTCAAGGTCATGTAGTCTTAGTACATAAAACAGCATCCTCCACAGTACTCTATAACACAGTAAGACAAAAATGGCGAGACAAGAGAGAGAGAGAGAGAGACAGAGACAGAGACAGAGACAGAGACACTGAGACCAACCCTGTCTAGAAAAAAAAGAAAGAAACAGAATGAATCCAGGAACACATTACTTCCAAGCATCACGTTCATACATGCTTTAGCTCTTTATAATAGAAAACCGACAACAGAGAACCAAACCTCTATGCCTAAGTCTGTTTTGTTTACAGAGCCCCGCTGACCTTGAACTTTTGCCTTAGTTTCTGTGGTGGTTTGAATGGGAATGGCTCTCTTAGATCATGTTTGAATGCTTGGCCCATAGGGAGTGGCACTATTAGGAGGTGTGGCCTTGTTGGAGGAAGTGTGTCACTGTGGAAGGGGGCTTTGAGGTCTTATATGCTCAAGCCACGCCCAGTGTGACACACAAAGTCTCCTGCGGCCTGTGGATCAAGATGTAGAACTCTCAGCTACCTCTTCAGCATCACGTCTGCCTGAACACTGCCATGCTTCTCACCATGATGATCACGGACTAAACCTCTGAAACTGCAAGGCAGCCCCAATGAAATGTTTTCCTTTTATAAGAGTTGCTGTGGTCATGGTATCTCTTCACTGCAATAGAAACCCTAACAGAGACATTTCCCAAGTGACAGGATTATAGGAATGTGCCACCTCAACAAGATAACCTTAATATTTAAAATGCAGTTTAGTGATGTATTTTCCAATCTGTACATTTTGTATTGTCACACACAGAGACCTTAGTTTACATTTTTACACATCCTCCAGCAACTGAAGGGCTCTGAACAGAACTCCGTGCCACTACCCACCTCCCCTCATTCTCATCTCTACAGTCATTCCCAGAGATAGGCTATTTTTCAAACCTCTCTCAAAAAGGACTGCCTCTCTCCAGCAGTCAAGTCTTACCTAGCACTCCTGATCCTGTGCAAATACATTCAAGCAGCAATCCCTTAAGAGCTGGGCAGTGGTACACACCTGCAACCCCAGGTACTTAGGAGGCTAAGCAGTAGTTTGAGCCCAGCCAAGGCAACATAGCAACATAGCTTTCAAAAACAAAAAGCAAGCAAATGAAACCAAGCAAAATCACCAGATTGGGGGCAGGGGTGAAGGTGTGCTAGTGTCTTCTATGAAAGATTTTAAATGTTAATTCTGAAACTATAGTTAGAAATATAAAACCTAGGGCTGAGAATTAGCTGAATAGGAAAAGTCCTTGCCTAGCATCTGGGAGACCCTTTTAATCTCCAGCAGGGGACCACTTAAACTAGGCAGGTAGTACACTCCTATAAACCAGTACTTGGGAGGTGGAAGCAGGAGGATCAGAAGCTCAAGGTCATCCTTACCCTTCATTACTAGCAGAGCCAGCCT